GGAATACACTTGCTAAAAGTCCCCAAGAGGGCAAGGAGCAAGACATTCTCAGAGGGGGAGCTGAAAGTCTGGAATTTGCTTCCCTATTGTTTCCAAAAAGCTTAAATTTGTTGTCCTTTAGGAAATGCTGCATTGCCTATCTATTTGCTCAGGCTTTTCCATAGTAAGCATCCTGCACAGAGTAGATTGGTGGAAGAGGGAATTATTTTTGAATTAACTTTTGTCAATTCTATTTTTAATTTATGATTGTTAACTTCTATAAACACATGTGTATTTTATAAATCAATCAATAAATGAATGATTAAAATTTAGACCAGAGCTGTTCCTTTATGCACTCCTGAAGCATGAGTTAGGATGTCCTTTATAGTTGTATCCCAGTTAGTGTAAATGTGGATGGCATTCTTAATCATATAAACATGTGATCCTGTTTAAAACACCTACTAAAATAATAGCCTTAGCTGTGAGTTTCACAGGTTAATTATGTATTGTGTTAAAAAAACATTTCCTTTTATTAATCATTTTAAATTTGTTGCTTTTGAATTTACTCCCTTTGCCTAATTAGATTCTGTCATTCCCACACTTTAATTAACCAGAAAGCTTGTTGTTGAGCAATGTAAGACTTCCTGCCTCTTAATATCTGACAGCATTTCCAGCCTCTGCCTATGCAGGAAAAGAAAGAACAGGACTGGGAATCAAACTTGGGGTCTCCCATACAATTGAACATAGCACAGCCATTAGCCACATGGCTGGAGCATCATTAAAATTGAAGATCAATTTTGCACAATACAGATATAACAGCTACATCTGGCAATGCCAAATCTATATTGTGAATCTTATTTATTACATTTGGTAAGGGAACTACAATGGAATGGGCAAACTGCAGTTAAAAACTGAAGATAGCGACCACTCAGTCACAGTGATGAGGTTATTTGAAAGCAAGAAATTTAAGAATTTAAGAAGCTGTCAATTCTCCAGAAATCGCCAACAGCAAACAAAACAGATGGATAATAAAGCTCCTTACCAATCACTCAAGCAGTAAACTGTGACACTGGAAATCTGCCAATGCCTTTATCCCAGTTCTCATGAATGAATCTTTGACATTTTATGATGCCCATTTAAGGTAGCCTAGAATGACTGGATTATTCGTTTGTGATGTGTTACCAGTTCACAAGTTTGACTCTGGCTTTGTACTTGAAAAAGCCTGCAGTTATGCTGAGAATTTTCAACTTTCTAGGACTGTTAACCATCTTAATAGCATTTCTGCTCTTTTGAAACATTATGCTCTGTAGCAATGCAAGGAGTCTATTCTGTCGACACTGGTTTGTATTTTATCTACACAGCTCACAGTAGTTCCTTGAATCAAGTGAGAAAAAGAGAACTGCGGTTATCTGTACAAGGCAAAACTGGATGGGGGAACTTATGGTATTGCTCTGATTGGTGTATTTTTGTACATGCCTAAAGCCTAATAGTGAGCTGTTGAGTGCCCTCAACTCTCATTCAATTTGCCAATGAAGTCAATTGGAATTGAGAAAGCTCAGCATCTCACAGCAGGTACTCAGCACCTCACACAATTGGGCCCCTATTTACTCAAACATCCCATACAAATATATTTCTAGTAGATTCCTATTCATGTAGAATTGACTTGGTCTGTGGGTCTGAAATATGTTCTGAGTTACATACCCTGTAACTTCAGCTGGGTTGCATGAGCTTCTAGTCATATTGGTCCCTTGCTGTAAAATTCTCCATGAGGTTGACACTTCTTACAATAACTCAGTGTAGGTTATGTTTGAGTGATTAGGTTTCTGTAACAATCCAACAGAAATAGTTAGGGCAAAACCACAGGCCTGCCATCAAATTCTGTTCTGCACAGATAAGAGTGGCAGTTTTTTTGTAACATCGTGGATGCCGTCACTATGACTCTCAATTTTGAGCTGTGAAGATAAATAAATAACTGTAGTATTAACAGAATAAAGAGCCTTCTTGTATTACTACAGGCATTGAAAATTCCAAACAATGGCATTAATGTTAATATGTAATGTTATGTTATTAATTACTATGATCAATGTGGACTGTGGTAGCACCTAGGGGCTCAAACCACACATCAGAGCTCCACTGTGCTAGGCACTGTACACACATGAACTAAAGAGATGGTCCTTGCCCTAAGGACCTCAGGATGACAGACAATAGATGGACAAAAACAAACAAAAGGGAGGACAATGTAACAATCAAGGCACCAATGAGCAGCAGACAGAGCACACTACCTGCTAGCCAAGAAGAACTTTCCTAGGAGGGGAGGGGTGAACACTAGGGAAGAATTTGTCCCCAGATACCGGACAAGTCTTCTTCACCTCAGTTTTTCTACTTGAAGAAGTTGAACATAGAGACTGGGATTGTCTTTCAGGGGAGTTAGATGCACAACTCCCATTGAAACCCAATAGCAGTTGGGTGCTTTACCCCCTTAGTCTCCTTCAGAAAACCCAGGTTTTCTTGCCCAGTAGAGTAAGTTTGCATGTGTGAACTTGTGTCATAAAAGTCTTGACATCAACAAGGATAGTAGTGATTACGCCTCTGAAACCTGGGCCCTCTTGTCATTATTTTCAAAATTGCCCTCCACCTCCTGCTGCTCTCTTAAATGCTTTTCTCAGTTGTAATCCACATTGCCTCCTCCCTTCTTTCTGGGGCTGCTGTGGAGAGTAAAGGCTGCAGCTGGGCCTTTTTCAGTTGAAGATTTAAAGCACTCTGACTAAGAGGTTCTGACTAGGCTAAAAATACTGAGTGATGTGCAGTGGGGAGGATAAATCTTTTGTAGGAGGCCTGAGGATAACTTCCCATGGTCTTTTTATTGAAATGCCTGCAGTTTTTGGTACAGTTCAAGTTCAGGTCAAGTCAACCTTGGCAGGGATGATAGTAGTAATCAGAGAAGGGGTGAACTATATGGGTAACACTGAGCCCTGGGTGCCACTGGTTCACCAGCAATAAGGTAGCCTCGGATTCATGCATCCCCCAGACTCCTAGGTCAATGGGGCTCCTTTGGAGCACTATGAGCAACTTCAAATTGCTCTCTCCAAGCAGAACCCCTGAGGAGAAAAGACAGCAGCACAAACGTTAGCTGTCTTTCCTTGAAACGTATGTTGAGTTACAGTCATATAATAAGTTGCAGGGCCAAGTAGTAAACTCCATTCACCTTGGACCGCTTCACCTTCATCAAGCCCATTAGACAACAGCTCTATAGGAGAAGCAATATTCAGTCCTGCACCAGGGACAGGTTTTGTAAACGGGATTGTGTGGTACAAAGACAGCCAAACTGTCAGCCAGGAAGAGAGGATGTGGCCCTACCTGACCAAAGATCACCTCCACCCCGGCATTTGTGGGTCCTGTTCTCTCTCCGACCCTTCTCAACCGGGCCTCTGCAAGGGTAACTGCAGCCCCTTTCTAGGATAGTTGTGACAATTTGGGGAATCTGTCTACGTACAACTTATGAATTCCAGTTTGATTTTATAACCTGCCTGCGCCCTTATGTTTTATGACCCTTTTACTAGCACTCCTTGTACTAAGGAGTCACGGGAGTGGTGCTGACAAGTCTGTTCACGAATAGGCCAATTGTTATACTCTATCAGGACCTAAATAGATCTTACCTAGAGACTAACTCCTGCCTAGATTAAGCCAGTTTTATCCAATTTCTCTGCGGGGGACTGGAATTTGGAGAGTGGAAAATCCCCAAACAAAAGAACTAAGAAATCAGTTGTTAGCACTGGGTCTTTATCACACAGCCTGAGGGTACGTCTACACTCGGGTTCATGAGGCTCGGGTTCATGAGGCTCAGGCTCATGGCTGAAAAAGTGCTGTGAAGACACTGGGGCTCAGGTTCCAGACCGAGCTCTGGGTCCCAGTGAGGGTCCCAAAATTCAGGTTCCAGGCCACGCCCGGATGTCTATACAATTTTTAGCCCTGCAGCCCAAGTCAGCTGACCCAGGCCAGCCACAGGACTTTTAGCCCTATGTAGACATAGCCTGAGAGACTTGGAAGGAATCCAGAGGGACACTCAGAGACAAAAGAAGTGTGGGCAGAAGAGAGGAACAGAGGGGTATGCTTTTGTAGCAGAGGGGTTCTTTTAATTGCAAAACCAGCCACAGAAGTAGAAACCTGACTGCAGCAAGGGGAGAGAGTGAATGAGTGAGCAAGTATCAGAGAGGCCACATGCTGGAGGGGTATCCTGGACTCCTTAGAGGACTTGGCCTTAGCCCAAAGTATGCTCTAAAGTGGTGAGGAAACTAGGCAGGGAATGGTGTACAGCATTTTATTGTTTTGTCTAGATCTGTATATTTCTTGTGCTAGCTAAAGTAAAAAAGTTGATTGGTTTCTGGAACCCTTACAAAGCCTGTGGGTCTGTTTGCGTCCACGCTGTTTGTGTTCACAGAAATTTTTTAACTATAAAAATCACCTCAGAAAGAAACTACCTCATGCATTAATGACCTTGGCACAAAGACCAAGTTTGCTTCATGCCCCTGAAGAGGTGACCTGTAAACTCAGAGTGCCCACAAGCTGCAGCCTGCTTAGATCACGGGACGCTTAAGAGTACAGTGTGCGGTGGGATCCAAACCCAGCAATCTGGTGAGTGTCCCGCTCAGGGGAGCTCTACTAGGGCTGTGACCATAGTAACACTCCAAACAGAAGCTTCTCTTCCAAAAATTACATGCTCCAAGACAAAACGTACAAACGGCATTCTTTCCCTGTGGTACCCCTGTCGTCCTAGCTCAAAGGGTGAGACAGGAATGGAATCAGCAGACTGTTGCACATGAGTTGGAGGCACTGGGGGAGTGCTTTGAATTAGTTTTGGAATGTCTTTTAATCTAACCTCTTTGTATCAGTTATAGGTTATGCCGAGTAACTGTATGCCACACTTCTTATGTTTTGTCAAATGATGTGTATTTTTTTGTATTTATTTATTTATAATTAATGTGCATGAAATTCTCTATTTCTTTTCTCTAATCAATCTTCAGGTATCTCAATGCCGGTACCTGTGTTTGGACTACAAGATGATTCCAAAGTGTTCAAGAAAGGTAGCTGCCTGCTGGCTGATGAGAGCTTTGTCTTAATAGGCTCTTTTGTGGCGTTCTTCATTCCTTTAACCATCATGGTGGTCACCTATTTTTTAACTATAAAATCACTTCAGAAAGAAGCTACCTTATGCATTAATGACCTTGGCACAAAGACCAAGTTTGCTTCATTTAGTTTTCTCCCTCAAAGTTCTCTGTCATCAGAGAAACTCTTTCAACGCTCTTTGAACAGAGAGCTGGGGAATTCAGGAAGGAGGACTATGCAGTCAATCAGTAATGAACAAAAAGCTTCCAAGGTACTTGGTATCGTCTTCTTTCTGTTTGTTGTGATGTGGTGCCCGTTTTTCATCACCAATGTGATGGCAGTCATTTGCAAGAAATCTTGCAATGAAAAAGTCATTGGAGGACTGCTTAATGTATTTGTCTGGATTGGCTACCTTTCTTCGGCTGTCAACCCATTAGTATACACACTGTTCAATAAAACCTACCGTTCTGCTTTCTCACGTTATATTCAGTGTCGATACAAGGAGGAGAAGAAGCCTTTACAGCTGATTTTAGTGAACACCATACCTGCTTTAGCGTATAACTCCAGCCAACTCCAGCTAGCACAAATGAAGAGTTTAAAAAAAGAGGCTAAAATGATGGCCAAGGATTATTCTATGGTTACAATCGGAATACATCCTTTAGATAGTACATCAAAGGGCAGTATTAGCCCAGACAGTGAAAAGGTTAGCTGTGTGTGACTCTGCTAGCCTGTCAACAGCTGCCATGGCAACCAATGGTATGTACTCAGAAAACTTCACCTAACTCTGAGAAGCTTTGATAGCGTAGGAAAATTAGCCCTGTCTAAGAGAACTTCAGTAGCATCACATACTCATGTTATCCAGTTGATGACAAACAGGGTTAAAATGCTATCAAATGTGCATTTTTTTCATACAGTATTTCAGCTGTTTTAAGGAAAGGCTTTATTAAACTTATTTTTTTAGTATCCTAAATAATATATTTCTTAAAGAAAAAAAGCAATTTATTGTATTATTATACCATGGGCTGTGACGAAATTAAAGTGTTTCTTTTCCTTCTGCAAATGAAAACAAAGCTATTGTTTGGTTTACTTGCTGGTTACGTTTGAATTAATTTGTCTTGCTACAATGTAATTTTATTATCATTAACTGAATGAGCACTTTACAAGATTTTACAGGAAAGAAAGCATCAGTTAATTTATGGATATATATTTAAAATAAAATAAATATTAAAGAAAATGCTCTGAAAACCTGTATAGATCAACTATGTGAAAAAATTTGGTGTTTTTATGGATATTTTTCCTTTCCAATTACAATTCTGAAATGTTGTTGGCCTTTCTGCCATTTGTTCTGTACTTCAAGTTAGTTCTCTTCAAAAGTAAATTAAATTTGAATGTTCATTTGTCACTACAAACATTATTGAGCTCTACTTTCTATTTCATTTTATCCCCTATTCTGAATGTTTCACATACACTGGTTTAGACTTTAAAGTATACTGTTACAAAAAGCCTCTATTGAGCTTGGTTCTCTACTACATTATACTGATTTTACAACAGTGTAAGTGAGGTAACAGGGTGGAAAATCAGGCCTAACACTGCTAAATAATTTCAGGCTTAATCCCGTTGACATTTCTCTTTACAGCTCCCATAGGTTTCAAATATAATTAACTTCAATGGGCATTCTGCATGAGTAAGGAGTGGGCTTTAATAGAATATCTTTCCCCATTTCTGTTCCTTGTTTTGTTTTAATGTTTCTATACTGAGAATAATTAGAAGACTGAAAAAGAAGTGTTTTTTCTTACTAGAATTTGGTTTTCCTCCATCACATATGCAAACTGTTTTGCTGTTGTTAGAGGGTTCCTCAGGAATGCTGGGCTCCTTGCATTATTTGGCTACAATCTTAATGAGGGATTCCTGGGCAGATCCTTACATTTTGTGGAGGCCCACTGAAAATAATGAGATTCTGCAAATGGTGTAGGATTCTACCTGCACAGACTTAAATGGCAGGATAGTTAGATTATTTAAAAAGCATCAATATTTTACTTTGATAAAAAGGCCTAATCATGCAAACATTTACTACCAGGTATAGCATGTGTTTCCACTGAACCCAGTAGGATTCCGTGTGGGAGTAAAATTACAGCTGTTGCTACTATCTGCAAGATTGCGTCCAAATACTAGACAATTACATGAACTTTACAAACAGGTATAAGAAAAGCAAGGTACTGTCCAGTTTTAGAGCCTATCAACTGAAAATAAAGGGTCACTATTAGGTCAAAAGTTATGTCTTCATTAAGACACTAAGTTTCACCAGCATAAGGAGTGAGTAAATACTGAGTGAGGACTTTAGCATTTGGCCCCAAACCAAATTCCCTTAGATGATAAAAAATGAAACAATCTTAAAAATCTAACTTAGTGCCTATCGCGACCTTGCACCAAGTGCATGGTGGCATGAGTCATAGGAGCCTTCCCTGGTGCAAAGAACAAGTCGCATTTCAGTCTGCACTGACTTCAGTGCAATCATTACTCACTGCTAGTGCATGTCTAGGAGATCTGAGAAGCCACGGTGTTTCCCTGAAGCACAATATTTTCTGAAGCTTCTGAGTGGGTGAGTGCTTCTTCATGCAATCTCCCCCACTGGGCTTTACAGACATAACGGAGCATTTAATTTCCACTATTTATACTGTTTGTTTATTTTCTGCATTTTATTCAGCTTGGCCAACAAAAGCGGACTCCCCATTTCTCGAAAATTTCATTTTCTGTCTCTAACAAGACTATTACAATGTTGCATTGCTCAGGTTGCAAACTGAAGGGAAATATTGCAGTCTAAACAAGTGATTTTAATTAATTGTTTTACATTTCATTAAAGGATGTCTATTTATATATGGTTCTTTAAAACTTATTAAAATAAAACCTATATTTTAGACCTATGCTACCTGACAGTGTCCTTTTAATTAATTCATCTTGGTAATAAAGAACTTACCTTTCCATTAGAACGCAATGTACAAGACATGGATATATGATACTTGATTTTTAATCTCATTAGCTCTCAGATAGTTGCTTATGCGGAGAGAACAACAGTTTTAGCCCAAGAAGCCTCTTTAAACAAAGATAATGGAATGCATAACAGACAAAGATGAATGTCTCTGGCTCTTCATAAATATCTTTGACAATTTGATTGCTACTGTACCTGATCCTGCAGCCTTGCTCTTGCAACATTCCCATAGACTTCAATGAGCTTTGCCTGAATAAGGACAACAGCCCCCTAGTTTGCAGTAATAGATTTGCAAGACAGTTAATAAATAGATATCAACTAAGAGATAAATTTTATTGTTGGTAGACATCAGGATTTAGCAATTTCAAGACCAGAATTTATAGCGCCCTGCTGATATCTAGCCACTGTCTGAACTGAAATACAGTACTGCTTACTAGGGCTGGTGGGGGGAAATTATTCCACTTCATGAAAAAAATTAAGATTTTGACATTTGTTTTGGTTCCACATCAGAGAAAAATGAGACCTCGTGACATTTTTCATGAAAAAATGACACACACAACACCACCACCACCCCAGGTTAACTCAGCTGTTAGGGCTCTCACCTGGGATGTGGGAGACCCAATTTCAAGTCTCTGTGCTCTGAATCAGCAGGCTGTTGGCTATTTTGGGGTGGGGGTTCTCTCTCTCTCTCTCTCGGTCTCTGCCACCCTGGATCTGAGAAACATTTGCAATCTAACAGCATTTTTGATGGAAAAAACCTTTCATCTAAAATGTTTCAACCAGCCTCTGCTATTTAATAATAATTTATTTTTTCAACAGCATCTGAAAAGTGTCCAGTGACTTTAAGCTTCTATTAGAGAATATTTCCTTAGTTTGTGGCGACTATGCCCATTTTTATATATAGTAGGGCAAAAAATCCTCCATTTCTATCCCATTCATCCAATCATGTACTGTATATATGTAATTTGTGCCTAACGGTAAGATGCATTCTATTTTGAATACATATAACATAAATGTTTATGTAAATAAACACAAGAGAAGAATGTTTGTTGTATTTTGAAAAATTTTAATGTGAAATTGTGCTCTAATGTTTAATTGTTTTCTTAAATCCCACTGCTAGCCAAGCAGATTAAAGCACTCAAATGCCGTCAGTTCCTTTATAAACTGGAAGCTTGTCTAAAGTTATTGGGGTGGTTTTTTTGTTTGTTTGGGTAAATTTTAAGAGAACTATGTTTGCTGAAGGTTAAAAAAATATTAAAATGTTTTGTTAGAGTCAGACAAAGCAGAACAGCACCTTAAGGAACTTTATGACTTAATAAAAATATGGAAATTATGATCATTCTACCTTTTGACTGAATGTATTTCTCTACAACAGAAATGTATTTTGTTTGGATGGGCGATAAATATCTTACTGTAAATATCTCAGTTCCAGCAACAAGCTACTTACAGTATTCATCAGCCTATCAAATTCATTTGACTCAGGGGAGTATTATAAAGGTAAGATTAGTAAGTGCCATAATAAGCTACAATATAAGGGCAGTTCACATATACATAAATTTTACCTCAACTTCATGACCACAGCGCCATCTTTTGGTAGTTTTTTAAAGTGAATATTATCATAAGAAGAAATCAAAATGTGTTGTACCATTTAATGCTTTGTTTCCTGCCATGTGCATAAAATAAACACCTTCCTAAAACATCAGACTGTTAATTGTTCTGTACAGTACATATGATTTTATTTACAACTGTAATGTGTGTTAAAGTAGGATGGTTGTTAATAAAGTGCCCTCTCAAAACCCAGTGACAAGTGCATGAGCTTCACCAGTCTTTGTAACGTGCAGCTAAAAATATATAGCCTCATATTGTTCACAAATTATCCAATTAAGGAAAAAAGGCTCCTTTACTCATTGACCAGTGTGGCACCACTGGGATAACTGTATCTGATGAAAACCTTGGTTCCAAAAAATCATCCCATACAATCCTACTTGTTCGTACTAAGATATTATAGCATCTCTATGTTGGGCAGATTCTACTTTCACTTACTCCAGTTTCACACCAATGTAATTCCATTGACCTCAGTGGCATTACTCCTGATTTACACTGCTCTAACGAGTCAAGAATGAGACCCAGTACCTATATGTTCACATACCCATTCTGATTTCCATCAGCTGCAGCTCAGTTTTCAGTCTTTCAAGCCAGCCTTATCATCATCTTCATTATTTATGTTACAATTGTGCCTAGAAATGTCAATTAGGACCAAGGTCTTAAACAAATCCTGCTTGTTCGCACTATAAACAGTCTGCAGTTTTGTGAAACAAAAGGGTTCTGGCTTAACAGAAACAGAGCCAGCACTAGGCATAACCAGACTAAGCAATTGCTCAGGGCCCTGTGAGCAGCTCAAGGGAGCCCCCTATTCGCTTTTTATTATTTGTGGGAGGCAAAATATTCCTGCTTAGGGCCCCCAATGGGGTAGCACTACCTCTGAACAGAAGGCAACTAAAGTAGACAATTCAATAAGCAGTAGTAGTTCAAAATAATAGAATCCAAAATCTGAATGACGATTGCAGTCTTTAATTGTTGCTTTCTGCATGGATAAGGAGTTTACTCTTCAATAAATACAATCACCAGGTATTATTTTGCAACTAATTCATCACTGAAAAATTCATATGCACAGTATTCCACAATGCTACAAATGGACAAAAATACAGGTATTTGGCTTTTTCAGTCACTAATAAAAATCAGCTTTTACAGTCCAGCAGCATGGGTTCATTATAATGAACTCAGGTGTAATTAAATTCCATTTAGAATTAAATAAAAGTCCCAGATTGTTTCAATGTTATGCAAAGTGCATACTGCAACTCCAGTATCAGTGAATGTTTATATATAGTTATGTAGTTCTGTGGGAGGAGTGAGAGGAAGACTGCTTTACTGTAAGAAGTAGTCATGGTACCAGAATTCCTCTGTTTTTTTGAAAGCGCCTTCATTGAGTTAACACTTTTATTATGTAGTTTGCCCTGATTGTTGAATGAGAATTCATCTGGTTCATCCATCTGGCAGTTCCAGCTGTAAAACAAGAGATGTCTGGTCTGCAAGTTTATCACTGCATGATTTCAGGGGACAACTGAATTCTTGAATGGCTGAAAATATGGCAGATGATATTTGGCAGGTTTCTGTGCTGCGGTGATGCTCTTTGGGGTGTATAACCAATTTGTTACAGTACTTACCACATGGCACATAATTCTAGATGACTTTAGTATTGGCATCATGTATCTTGCAAACAGAACAAGATTCCAGGAACAACTACTTTAGGGTGTGCTTGAACCTCATTCTATTTGACACTGATATTGCTACTTAGGTATCAGAGAGGCCTTTATTTTATCTGAAACTGTAAACTGTTATAACAATGATTCTAACACAGCATGATAAATTATGTCCAAAAATTTATTAATTTAATAAAATCTTCACATACTTCAGTATGACCAGGAATCTTAAATTCATAGATTCTAAGGCCAGAAGGGACCAAATATAATGAAAAGCTGAGAGGACAAATTATTTCATTTGAACTCAGTGGGATTGCTCACGTGTAAAGTTATTCACATGTTTCAGTATTTGCAGGATTGGAGCCTTTCACTTGTGAAAACCAGGATTAACTCCATTTAAATCAATGGGATTACATCAGTGTAAAACCATTTCTAGACTAGGAAATTGCATCTTGTTTAGTTAACATGTTTTAACTAGAAAAGGTGGGTGAGGTATTATCTTTTAGTTGACCAACTGCTGGTGGTGAAAGAGACAAGCTTTTGAGCTTACACAGAGCTCTTCTTCCGAAACCTGTGTAAGCTCAAAAACTTGTCTCTTTCACCAACAGAAATTGGTCCAGTAAAAGATATTACCTCAGCCACCTTGTCTCTCTAACATCCTGGAACCAACATCCCTCCAACAATATTGCAAACGACAATGTTTTAACTAGCAATTTTGTAATACTAGTATAGGCACTCAGGGGTGTACAGGAACTACACTGCATGTGCCCATTCGGGCAATAATCACCCAAAGGAGACAAGGAAGGATGAAGAGGAAGTGAGACATGGCCCTGTCTCCTCTCCACACCAGGTGATAGAACTTGTGGCAGTGGAGAGAGGAGTAAACTGTACCATTCTACAGGATGGTTCAGCATACATGCTTTGGATCTTGGGTGGAAGTGGGGCAAAAGGAGAATAGATAAATATCAATATTTAATAGGGCTGTCGATTAATCGCAGTTATCTCAGAAAAAGGGGGATAACAAAAAAAATTGCAATTAAAAAAATTAATCTTGATTAATCACAGTTTTAATCGTACTGTTAAACAATAATAGAATACCAATTGAAATGTATTAAATATTTTTGATAGCATGTCCTGTGGAATGGCGGCCAAAGCATGAAGGGGCATACGAATGTTAAGCATCTCTGGCACACGAGTCGGTGGGTGAGCCACCGGCTCGGGGAGGCTAGCCCCCAGCCACCCCTTCCACCTGAGGCCCCTCCCCTCCCTCTCCCTTACCCCCCAAACCCAGATCCCCCTCCCCTCCTGGAGCATCTGGTGAACGGCGCATGGCCCCCTGGAGCACCAGGCTGGCAGCCTCCCCCCCAGAGCACTGAGTTATGCACAGCCCCCACTGGGCAGCGTGCAACCCCCCAGAGTACTGGGTGGGCGGCGCATGGCCCCTCAGAATACTGGGCAGGCAGGCAGCCCCCCCTCCCATCCTAGAGCACCAGGTGGGCATGTGGCCCTCTGGAGCATCAGGTGGGTGGCCCCAGCACCATGTGGCGGGCGGCCCCCCAGACCACTGGGTGGGCGGACAGTGCATGGCTCAGTCACTGAGAACACTGGGCAGGTGAACGGGACCCCACAAACACCTTGTCTCTCTCAGATTTTGGAAGGCACTTCAGATTCTTAAACCTGGGGTCGAGTGCTGTAGCTATCTTTAGAAATCTTACATTGGTTTCATTCCTTTGCGTTTTGTCAAATCTGCAGGGAAAGCGTTCTTAAAATGAACATGTGCTGGGTCATCATCCAAGACTGCTATAACATGAAATATATGGAAGAATGTGGGTAACACAGAGCAGGGGACATACAATTCTGTTTTCTTTCTTAACTGCCACTATACCCTGGGATTTTTATAACTCCAAAATATCTTTCCAAGACAAAAGTCTCTATTAGATTTTTTCAGTGCAGTGAAATTCATTTGCTCCCAATTATTACAAGCAGTTAGACAATCTAACAGTTATATTCTTATATATGATTCTTCTTTTTATTTGTTGTTCTTCACAATTTGAAACTTGGAGATCATATTATTTGATCACAATCTAAGTCATAAAAGGGACAGGGTAAGCTAGGGTACCAAAATAAAATTTTTACCAGAGGAGTACAGTTTTCAAGGAATTTAAGCAGTGGGGCATGACTTTCCTTTTCTGCAGTTATGTTGACACTATTTAATGATTTTGTACTTTTCCAGCTATTTTTATATGACTATACAGTACATTCATTTTTTTTAAGAAAGATTTAAAAATAAGACCTTTTTCAAACAACAAAAGTGTAAGGGTTTATTTTTAAACCTTTGGTACTCTTCAAAACAGTAAAAACATTTACAAGTGTCTGCTAATTTCTCCCCTAGTCATATAAGCCATACACTCTGTTCTCATTACTGGAATGTAAGTGATTGGCAACTTTGTCATGGGGCAGATCCTGATATACATATTGTAATGCTTTGGGGAAATCTATGTACAACTTATGGATTCTGGTTGATCTTATGAAATTGCTGTATCATTGAATGCCTCAGGGAGATTCCATGATTTAGGGGAAAAGTCATGTGCAGGAGATGGGGGCCCTGGACTCATTGGAGGACTCTGACCTAAGCCCGAAGAATGCTCAAGAATAGCTGGGAAACTGATACAAGGCAATGTATATAAGTGTTCTATTGTTTTGTGTAGATATGTATATTTCTTGTGCTAGTTAAGCTAAAGTAAAGATGACTGGTTTTTGAACCCTTACAAAACTCCAGTGTCTGTTTGCTTCCACCGTCCCATGTCCCTGAAGAAGTGAACTGCAAACCCAGAGTCCCCAAAGGGTTGAAGCTCTGAGAAATGGTGTGCTTACACTGTTGGAGAGTCTGGGGACTCAGCGCTGGCCCTTGCGCCCTAAGGCAGCTGGGCCATGCAGACCCACTTTGGTGAAGGGTGTCATATTGTCTGAAGAGGCTCAAGACTGTGAGTGCCTACCTCAGGGTAGACTGTCAGAAAACAGGGCAGACATCCCAAACTGGTGGTGTGCTCTATAATTAGATTTTACCAAGCCAGTAACAAATGTGAATCCTGGATCACAATTCCAGTCTTCCACAATTCCATGGAGTCACAGACAGTCCCCTTAGACTCTACAGTCTATCTTGTCTCCCAGACAAACTGGACTTTGTGATAAATAGACACACCAAAAAGAAATAGACACACCACATTCAGGTTGCTCCCAGTCCCAAGAGGCCAGTCACTTACTCCAGAATCAATTGGTACCCTAGATCTTACACTAAAGACAACGCTGGTAGCCAATTCTATAGTAAACTAACTAAAGGTTTATCAGCTAAGAAAAAGGGCTCAGAATTATTGCGAGGTTAAAGCAGGTAAAATATACGTACAGGCCTAGGTGCCACAACTAGGGGTACTGAGGGTGCAGCCGCATTCCCTCGCTTGAAGTGGATTCCATTACATACAGGCTCTCAACACTGCCACTTTACAAATTGTTCCAGCATCCCTGCATACAGGTGAGTCACAGTCCAAATGGTGGCAGAGCTGGAGGTGAGCAGACCTGCATCCCACAGTTCCAGCAGAGCAGAGAGAAGCCTAAGACTCTGACACAGCTGCCCAAAGGGACCCTCCCTGAGGGAAGGCAGCACGCCCCACCCCCACCCCCACTCACCCAGAGACAGCCTGAGAGGGAAGTATTCTGTGGAACTTGGATGTTGGTAACCCCCTTTACTTATTGAGGTTTGGGTTTCTGCATCAGGGGAAAGCCTTGGCCTAAGCTAATCCTGGAGGGTGTACAGAGGGTGGACAGGAGGAAGAGGCCCACGGAGGACAGTTCTAAACAGCATTGGTTGCCAGACTACTGGTAGCCCAAAGGGCCCTGGGTCGGAGCCGGGTAGAGTGGGAGGGCCCAGGCTGCCCTCCCCACAACCCCCTTGGCAGTCAGGAGTTGTAGCCATGACCACTGTGGCCATGCTCCCCAAGACAGGACCCTTACAGATACAGATAAGTGAACACAATGCATGCAACATCCCATTAGTTTTCATGAAGTTTAAACATCAAATACACTCTTATGCATTTAACAATCACTTTCATCTATACTAATACACAAGAGAATTGGCCTAGGGCTTTGGCTGACCTGGCACCTGGTCTGCCAGCATTACAAAGGGGTAACACACAAACAGCCTGTACCCAGGAAGTGTGCCAGACAGGCCAGGGAAAGAGACAGTGCTGCAGTCTATCCAAACTTTGGGCAGTGCTTAATTTTAGTTAGTTGAATTTATATTCACTACTCCTCTACTACAGCTGCTTTTCAGTGGTGTAATTCAACTACAATAAGTAGTTTCAACCCATTTATCTACACACCAGCTCTGGTCATGGACCGTAACTGATACTAATTAAGAAGGAACACACATAGAATCATAGAAATGAAGGGTTGGAAAAGACCTCGAGAGCTCATCAAGTCCAGGCCCCTGTGCTGAGGCAGGACCAAGCAAATCTAGACCATCCTTGACAGGTGTTTTGTCTAACCTGTTCCTAAAAACCTCCAATGACAGGGATTTCACAACCTCCCTTGAAAGCCTAGTCCAGAGCTTACCTACCCTTAAAGTTAGAAAGTTTTTCCTAATACCTAACCTAAATCTCCCTTGCTGCAGATTAAGCACGATTACTTCTTGTACTATCAATTGATCATTGTCCTCTTTATAACAGTGTGACAGAATATACCTGTGTTCACACCGTACGTATTATTGTAATAGATTTCAGAGTAGCAGCCGTGTTAGTCTGTATCCACAAAAAGAAAAGGAGGACTTGTGGCACCTTAGAGACTAACCAATTTATTTGAGCATACGCTTTCGTGAGCTACAGCTCACTTCGTCGGATGCATTCAGTGGAAAATGCAGTGGGGAGATTTATATACATAGAGAACATGAAACAATGGGTGTTACCATACAGAGTGTAAGGACAGTGATCAGGTAAGGTGAGCTATTACCAGCAGGAGAGCGGGGGGAAGAAACCTTTTTCAGTGATAATCAAGGTGGGCCATTTCCAGCAGTTGACAAGAGCATCTGAGGAACAGTGGGGGGAGGGAGGGGAATAAACATGGGGAAATAGTTTTACCTTGTGTAATGACCCATCCACTCCCAGTCTCTATTCAAGCCTAAGTTCATTGTATCCAGTTTGCAAATTAATTCCAATTCATCAGTCTCTCGTTGGAGTCCGTTTTTGAAGTCTTTTTGTTGAGGAATTGCAACTTTTAGGTCTGTAATCGAGTGACGAAAGAGATTGAAGTGTTCTCCGACTGGTTTTTGAATGTTATAATTCTTGACGTCTGATTTGTGTCCATTTATTCTTTTACGTAGCGACTGTCCAGTTTGACCAATGTACATGGCAGAGGGGCATTGCTGGCACATGATGGCATATATCACATTGATAGATGTGCAGGTGTATGAGCCTCTAATAGTGTGCCTGATGTTATTAGGCCCTATTATGGTGTCCCCTGAATAGATATGCGGACACAGTTGG